TTAGGTAAAAAGAAACTTTAATGAAAAAGTGTAAAGCTGTTGTTCTAATATTGTCCCTATGATTTATATGACCTTGTATTTGGAACAGTGAATATGGAAAGAGGGGAAAGGAAACACAATTTATGGGACAAAAACAATTCCCACGGCTGTTTGATCGAAAGATCCCGGTAGCAATTTGCTTCTAAGGTTTATTTAAGATAGCAAAGGTACATTTATACAATGAACCCATATATGGTCATATAGTTACCTGGGGTGAATGCACACATTGTGATATTAACCTGTCTTTTTTTATAGACGTATATTACCATGAAGTGGAGTAGAAGAACTACCACGATAGTTGGAATTTGTTTTCTTGGAATTCATATCTTACTATATAAATTATTCACCAGCAGAACGAAGAACGTAGCAGTTTGGAATAAAATTGAAACACACATGGAACATTTGAGACAGCAAATGGAATTTCAACAAGGCAGCAAATGTTCATGCCCCGAACCAACCATTGGGCCTTTGAACATAAAAACATTCCACAGACAGAAAAAAGAATATATAGAATGGGAACAACAAGAGAACAAAATGGCCGAACCAATGACACTGTGTCCAGCTATGTCCCCTATACGTTACTTGGGGTCTGGAATAACTGTCGAGCCTCTAAGCTCCGTTCGTGTTGTTGGTATTGAAATAGACTCTGTGTTGAAAGCGAGTAAAGATCTGATAATAACACTAACTTCCAGACTTTCATTAGGACACATATATGTGGAGCCTTTCACAATAATGGATTTACTGCATATAGAAGGCAATAATAGTGGTCGGATTTCAATAGAGACAGAACACATTGACCATATGAATAGTGCTCTTTCACACTTAATCTACAATAGTAAGCAGCACCATATAAGACAAAGAGATTACATTGACGTTTCCATCCTTAATTCTCATGTCGTCATTAATATTCTCATCCAGAGAAATCATGTGCCTAGATTGTATGACCCTGGACCAGATGGTGACATCATTAGAAAAGTCACTGTTGTAGCCAAGACATTTGAAAGATATGAATGTGTTAAGAGACTTATTTCAAGCATTAATACGTTCTATCCAAACATGACAATAATAGTTGCAGATGATTCTGAAAAGAAAGAAGAATTGACTGGAAGTAATGTAAAACATTTTCTAATGCCTTTCCTAGAAGGTTACGCTGCTGGTAAAAATTTGGTTGTCAGTCAGGTGCGCACAAAGTACTTGCTGATGGTTGATGATGATTTTGTATTTACCAATGAAACTATCCTGGAACGGTTTGTGGAAAAACTTGAATCAGGTACAGCTGAACTAGACTTAGTTGCTGGGGTAATATCCAATACGAAAGGAAAAATATCTGAAGACACAAGCAAAAATGGCTGGAGCGAGGTTGAGTATGTTAAACACGAAGATGGTGGATGTCTTTTTAAAAGAGATACACCAGTTAAGAGAGTAGAGGGTTTCCCGAATTGCATATTAAAGGATATGGTTATAAACTTCTTTATGGCAAAGACCGAAGCTATTCGTAAAGTCGGTTTTGATTTAGTGTTTGAACGAATATCTCACCGAGAGTTTTTTGTAGATGCTTTGGGCTATTTACGAATCGCACAGTGTGATGACGTCATCATTAGACACAATCCGCAGGAAAAGACGAAACATTACCGTTACTATAGAGGCATGCAAAATCAAACTAAAGAACGCTCACAATGTGCAGAACGCATATTATTCAAGAATAATCTCCAATGCTTACAATCCTGGAATAACGTTTTAAAGGAGTATTCTGAAAAAAACAACATTAACCATTGATAGCAGATGTAATCCAATAAGGTGTAACTACAGAAAATGACACATCATGGTAAAACACTAATTTTACAATGCACTTGTTGTTACCCAAGACAAATTAGATTACATGAGTAAGAGATACTTTTCCACAGCTTCTAGAAAAAACTAAATATATAATTTATACATATTTCAAACAATAACGTGATTTTAACCATGAATAATAATTGGAATTATACAACGATTAATAGCTGATTACAATTGGATGGGCGTGGAGATGTATGTATATCTGAATGTGACAATTTGATTGACTCTAGTGGCTCATATATGTCACTAGAATCAATTGCGTAATATATTATATATAATTTATGTAAACATAAATGAGGATCGATTGTATAACCTTGTCGTTTGCAAAACGTTTCCTGTTTTCTTTCATAATTTAAATATACATGTATTAGCTGTTTTTCATGGAAGGTTCTTAATATATACGTTCATAAACAAGCATATAACAAATCGTTGTGAATATTCTGTAACCTTTCAAAGGAAAGACTACACTAAAAAATTATCAATAATTTACAAAAAATCTCGTTATTCCATTCTGCTTTTTATTATGTCAACCTCAGGAACTATTCAAAGAAATTATTAGACCACGTCCCAACTTCTCTGTTTTTCATTGATATGTTTTTTTTGTCACGAGAGTAACCTTTGTAAATGTCATCACTCTCTCCTAAGAACTTCAATATTACCCTACCATACCTTACTTACATATGTACCATATCTTGACCATATCTTCAAACTATTATTAGTCCAGGGGGTAAATTAATCATTCCCCTCAAAATAATTGTTGTACAAAACACTCTGGACATCCAGTCAAAAAGGTAACTATGTCTTCATTACATTTATGTTAAAGGGCCTTCATAAACACGGTACAATCATTACCATTAATTCCATTCCCAAGATAGCAATACTATACAGATACTAGTACCTCCAGCTATGTTATGTATTTGTCAATGCAAATGTCACGCCAAGCGTAGGTTATTTTTCCCGCAATATTTTATTTTTTTCTGACTTTAATGTACTAGTCCACACTGTTGCAATCCAGGCAATGGTTGAGGTATATAAATGAGGACCTTTACTGGTTTTAAAATCACTTAATTGGATTTGTATTTCAAAATTAGACCAAAACACAAACGCATTAAAGCAGTGAGTCGCTACTCAATCGAGATTACTGTCATAAATAACATGAGAACGTACATTATTTCTAGCTTGATTGGAAGTTGATGGAGATGTTGACATTAAGTGTCCCACCGTTTATCGCGCACCGGAAGAACAGTGATTTGATGTCATATAATACTGGTACGATATAATTGGAAGGAGATGGCAAAACTGTTGATCCATCTTACTTATTGTGCTGTTGTCGACAGCAAGTGTAGAACATTCCAAACCACGTTTACACTTTTGGTCGGGCGTGTTCTCAACATTCTATAAAGAGGTCTTATTACAGCAATCATGCTTCAGTATTTCTCCTTCAAATTTGTGGAATGAAACTCCCTTTTTAATTGCAAATCTTACAGGAGACGAGGTGAAGAGAGAAGCATATAGGTTAAACCCACTACCAGATACGTCTATTATTATACCTGTATTGAAGATAAGCTCCTACCTCCTGAATACGGAGTAGTCCCTTATTTTACATCACAGTTTAGTAGTTCTATCTAACTATCTATCTATCAACTTTTGAATATTCAAACTGTGTGCTTATTAATTCTTATACTGTACTGAATTGTAATCAAAGCGTGACCTACTGGAGAGAGAACAGTAGCATTCTTTTTTACTATTACTCTTGACATTCTACAAATGAACTTGTGACAAACTTTTGAACAGCGCCCTCATTATTGAACAGTGTCTTCATGTCAAGCCCGTGTAATCTATGACCACACCTGATTTGTTTGACTGCGCCCTCAATGGTGCATTGTATCACTGGGACCTTTCATATATATTGACTGTTGAGACTGTATCATGTATTCATGAGTTTTGTTTTTTAAATTGTACTTGCGTTTATTGACTGGTCATTGCTGAAGTTGGCTTATTGCTGATAAAATAGACCTTGTTAGCGATGATGTAGCTAATTTTATTATTGATTGAGGGCCTGATTATAGCATTTGATTAGCTTTCCTTTCTCTATATAATCAGGTTTATCCTACCTCAACGTGTTTATATGCACATGAATATACCTGTGTCGTTTTACTGAAGTAGTATCCAAGATTGCCGAGTTGAAGTGTCCGAGTTTGCTGCCTGACCATGCCTGACTTCTGGTCTCAGTGAGTATATCGATAAACCAAATGCAACTTCCCTGTGTCTAGCTCAACAATGGATATTTTCCGTACACATTGGCCAACAAGCTTACACATATATCTTAGACGTATGATTTGCATGGTGGCATCGTAATATGAATGCCCCCTCTCAATATGAATATAGCCAGTAAATAGAGATGTAAATAAATTACAGTTCCTGTATGTTGACCTATTGAAATAAGATTTTCAAGGATCGTTTGCCAAGTGCAATTTTGCCCTGGTATTTTATTTATACATTTTCCTTACTTTTTGTGTGGCAGCCTTTTCTGTTTCAAAATAGTTTTATTTTGTCCGTGTTCTTTTTCTAACATTTTCCATCGTTTACTGTGTTGCATAATGGATATTAATCATCGTATGTCACATGTGTGTGAGTCAACAGGTTGTTCACACATTTGCTTGTCATACATTTTAGCAGGGTATCCCGTACAACACGTATCCTACATCGTGTAACTATGATGAAGATATAACTTATCATTCTAGTTCTGGTGTAAAGCTATTGGTGCAAGTGAGTAAACACTATGGCGTATATATGTGTACGGTTCCTATATCAGCATTACATGATTATAATGTAATATAAATACACAATGTTTAAACACCAGGCTTAAAACTGGTTTTCTAATTATATAATGCCATTCAAAATTAGGATGGGAAACCGTTAACATCTGCAAATGGCTTTGATATTTGTTTGAAGTCAAAATATTTGTAGTTGTGCACTCTAATGTAATGTATAGTTCATGTAGTCTATATGAGACATGTATGCAGTGTGAGCAATACATAGTGTGTAGACATTTGGGTGCAGCGTGTGGAGCGGGATGTGCTAATTTTCTCAAAACACATGACATCACATTATGTATACCACATATCTCTTTCTCCTTATTACCTGATTATGTTTTTCTTGTGAAGTGCTGAGTCTATTGTTGTCAGTCCTTTGTTTGATTGCACCTTTTTTATACAACTTTTGGAAACATGATTTGTTATGTATTTCTTTGCTACATATAATGATGGAGAATGTTCCAAAACATCTATACTTAATAGATAATGTTTGAAAAGAAAAAAATTACCACCTAATTATATGAGAAACATGAAACATTTTCTGCCAACACAGGTGACATTCGAATACATTTTCTAGTCCCAGGAAAACAATTTTGGCTCAAGTTGTACAATTGTACATAAAACTGAATTAATTTAATAAAATTCCAACCAGATTTAAAGATAGGAGCATCAGGGTTCACTATGCTAACACATAAAAAAATTTACAATAAAGTGAACATGCAAATGCATAGAAACATATCCAGTTTAAAACATTGCACAATTTGAATTTATTCTAAGTATAAACACGTTCATCAAATATCTGCTAGATATACAAAACAATTTTCAATATACAAAGCACTTCAAAGGTTTTATATTTCACCTAAATTTAAATTATTCATAAACAACTAAGTCATCTTTCAAGAAAATATCACCTCTCTGGTCTAAACAACAAGTTAAAGACAGCGTGGTTCTTGATTTATTACAATTGTTGCATATTTCTACATTTCAAATGCCAAATGTTGCATAACAAATTTTAACTAGCATAGATTTAATTTTGTATTTGGTAATTATTCATACACATACATTATAAACGCCGGCCAGCTAAATTAAGCAAATGTGTACAATGGCAAGTTATCCGTACATGTGTATATATAATAAATCACGCGATTGGCGAATAACTTATGCAAATCTCTTCACCTATGTACTCAATGTAACAATAGTAGTAAATCTCTATAACATGTGTCTATAATTAATTAGGTCACAAGACCAGCTAATGGTTTATCCAAGTTTCTACATGTATTTGCACATTACCCTCTTAGTAGTAAATGTGTATTCAAAATATTAATCTCTTGTCCGTATCTTCATTACGTCATTGGATATGTCACTATCTGCGACATCTTTTGAGATAATAGAGTTATATAAAGTAAGGAGGTCACGCGCCCCATCACTACCATTAGTTTTAATATAATCATAAGGCAAGGAACATAACTAACATATCATCTGATCATTTATGGTAATTCGATCAAACTGCAAGTATTCGAAATACTGGTTGAATCACACTATCCTAGCAACATGAGGGCATTGGACTGTATGAATAACGCATGTATCAGCTAACTATCTATATTCATGTGACTCAATACATATATCCAGTTCCCTGAACTACTTTTTGATATTGCCTACAAACTGGTCATTGTTCACATGGATAGCACG